GCCTCTGGGAGGCGTGGCAAAGGCTACCGAGCCTTGAACTCGGGGGTCGCGGCCAGCGCGCCAGGGCGATCGCCGCTGGTAAGGGCCCACCGTGAGCCCGTGATACACGATCATACTCTCGGCAGGACCACAGCTGAGACTCCCAGTCGACGAAGCTCGGCCCGGCCATCTCACCATTGATGGGCCTACCTAACGGGGGCGAGAATGGTACTTCGGGATGTGGGGGGGCCCCGCGGCGTCGAGATGATTGACGACGTGCCCTCACACGGCGGTCGCGCCCAGCCTCGGTTGCGGCGCGGTCGACGGCGGTTTGGTTTCGGAGTGGCTGTTAGCAGGAGCTAACCCTATGGTTAAAAGACCAAATGCTCGGTCTAGGGGAAGGTTGCCGAGTGAGAAACTCCTTAGCGCTCACCCAGCCTACCGGTGGGGCTATATGCACCGGAGGTTGCCCGTAACCAAAAACGGGAAGCAATGAGGATAGCTTGCGACCCGACCTGGGTGGCGAAGGGTACGTGCATGCCTCAGCCAACGGTACGGGCGCACTCTCTCCCGACTTCGTTGGGAACGGGTGTGCGCACGGTGCTCGTGGTCCATAGACGACGCGCGGGCGGTGGTTGGTGGCAACGCCACCGTACGCCGACCGTGAACCTCCGCGGCTCTCGACTAGCGCACAGCGCTAATGTGAGGTCCGCGGTTGTAGCCGCAAGGCATCAAACCCGGGAGTCTTCGTGTATAATAGATGGTATTAAATTTGAATTCAATGATATAATATTATTGTATAAGAAAAACGATTCTGAGTGGAGACGGTATGTCAGTCTAGGTATGGGACATATTATATACTTATCTATGCGGTATTAAAAAAAATTGACCTATAATAGGCACCTATAAATTGTAATAAATTCCAAATTAATCATATCACAATATCCTTTAGGTGCTTATAACGCGTTATACATCAACAACAAACCCTGATACTATCATATATATATAATAGTGTAATTTAGAAGTTTCAAGTACCCACGAATGATATTATACAATCACAACAAAATAACTAAAATAGTTATTCTAGGTTTTTTATTATGTAATTTTGTTGAAATTTGAACTTAAAATTACTATAAAAATAAACTGTGCTTATGTATTTTTTAGATTTTTTGGTAACAGAATTAACTACTTACGTGGAATCTTGTTTTAAATTTTCAATCCTTAGGTATAAAAGTTGAATATTTTATAAATTATTAACTACAAAATAATTATTAAATTTGTACACTTTTTGGACTAACAGATAAAACTTTATTGATATTTATAGAAAAAAAAAACTAAAAAAATAAAAACTGAAAATGTCCGTAAACTGCTCAAAAAGAGTCAAAATATTTTCAAAATTCTATGGTGTATAGGAAATGCTAATAAAAACATTCAGTGAAATTTTCATGTATCTAAATTTATTCATTTTTGAATAACAACAAAATGAAAAAATTGCTTCATGAGAAATCGAGTGAATTTCCAATGTTATAAAAATTTTAATTTCAAACGCTCATAAAAATTTAACTAGACTTTCTTATACACATTTTTTTTTTTTGATAAAGGTAGATAATCTTATAAGGAATCTTGTATTACCATTTAAAATCTTGGATTTAAAAAGAAAAATTTTTTACGAATTCTTAACATAAAATAATTTGCTAATTTTCGTGATTTTTCCATATTTTGTCAATTTTTGAACTTTAATAATGTTTATAAAAAAAAACTGTGACTGAGGATTTTTAATAATTTTCATCTGCCTTTGAAATAATATACTAGGAGCCTTCTATTAAATTTTCAAGCTTTTTTAAACAACAAATAAAATTTTATTGATATTTTTAGAAAAAAACTAAAAAAAAATTAAAAATGAAAATGTTCCTAAACAGTTCAAAACAAATCATACTTTGAAAATGTCATCGTGTATAGAAAATGCAAATATAAACAACCAGTGAAAATTTTATGTATATACATTCATTTGTTTTAGAGTTACATCAAAAACCAAAATCGATTTTGTGGAAAACCGATTTTGCGTAAAAATTCCCGGTTTTCCTTAATTTTTATGTTGTTTTTCCTCGCGCTTGTGAAAACTATTGGGAATTTTAAAATTTGACCTCCTAAATGCACCAACTAGATTCACTTTCCCATCGAACAAGATACTGTTGAAGAAAATAGAAGCAGTTTTACTGCCACCAAACCGTGATGACAGACACAAACAAATAAAAAAATAAAAAGTAAAAAAAAATAAAAAAAACATACATCATTGTAAAATCAATACATTTATCGTTTCACTCAGAATCTAAAAAAAAATAGAAAAACACGTATCATTGATTCATCCCCTCAAAATGTACAAAGTTATATTATACATATTGTGACACAAACGTCAATAAATAACATAAATAAAAAAACATTTATTTATTGATTAGCACGAAAGTTATTTTGTTTGTCTGGTTCGTCAGGGTATCCTGTTTCACTTTGTATGCACAAAATGAAAAAAGATAGTGTCTCCCATACAAGTCCGGATTAAGGATAAATTGGGCCCCGGGACACCATACACTTAGTGGGGCCCCTTTCAACTTCAAAATAATTACACATTAACGACTTTATATTACTGTATAATTTTTTACTATACAAAAAATATACAGAGTGTATCTTATGTCATTGTATTCGTATAGGCTGGTTTTTTTTTTTAAGAATTTTGGGTATTGGTTTGCTAGGTTATTAACTATGGTCCTATAAAGTATAGTATAATATGCATTAATATTTTTAACTGAAATACCTAATTTACAAAAGCTAAATAATTTTTTCTAATAACTTTACCTTCTTACATACTTAAACGGTTAAATCGGTAATCTAAAAAATAATTTTTTTTTTCTCATTGCATTAGGTGCATTATATCAAGTATTTGTTATATGAACATGTAAAAATTAATTTTTTCTAGGTATGAAAAATTGACATTTTTTTATAAGTACCTATGGGTACTGGTATGGTGAGGATAGTGGAAAAACAAAATAGACATGCTGAATAAATCTCTGCACTATACATATTGATATTATATACAGAATATTGTGTATGGTATGGATGTGATTTCTTAGCCATGGTAGATATGAATACCTAGTCGCTACTGGCTAGTACCTACAACCGACGTCCTACAATCTAAACACTAAGTTCTGAAGACTGCAGTAGACAACACTACACCGTATCTGAAATATTTATACAATATTATAATATTATATATTTATATTGTACAATTTATGCATGATCACGAGTTTAACCGACTTGTAATTGGTTTGAGTTTCGTACCTCGGTCCTGAATGTAAACATAATAATAATAATACATCAACGAGATATTATCGTTATTTATATAGAATATTACAAACTTCATAGGGCAAAAATGTGACAGTTCATACAACTTTAACTATTTTTAAACACTCTTTAGTCTTTTGGCATTTTTTTTATCACACTATCAAAATTAATAATTAATATATAGTTATAGTCTATAGATGTTGCGCCATAAGTAAAACACCGAAAATCGCGAACTTCACAAGTTTATAACTTCAAAACTAATCATTTCCTCAAATTTATTTTTGCACCATCGTTTTAAACTCGTCGAATTACATTTGTTTCAAAAAATAAATCGAAATTTCGAGGAGCCTCTAAACTAGATTTATACCCAAAGGTACTTTAATATACAATACATTTCGTTTAAATACGTATTATTGTAATATACTATATTTACCCACAAGACTCAAGTGTGTACATTTCTAATAGTAATTGCCTATTCATTTCGCCTTAAAAATAATGTGTGATAACCGCCGGTGACAACGGCTAAAATAACCGTCTTGATGTTATACATAATAATTAATAATTATTTACTTACTGAAGTATCACTTAACTTACTGGGTACTTGTTTTCAATTTTTCATTGTTGTGCTTATAAATTTATAAATTATTTGTAGTGCAGTATGAATATTGATAATATAATAATAATAATAATAATAATGGAAGTATGTACACAGAATATATAAGCATATTTTCGTCACAGACTTCTATACTACACTAGATAAGGAACTCTTATACAATATACATTGTTACAAGTGAAGCTCAGCTGTGAACGGCCGCCATTTTGTCGGTTGGCAAAACATTTCATTTATTATACAAAATGTATTAGGAATAATATTTTTTTTAACGGTCAAATAAAATAGTAAATGTAAAATGACTTATATAAAATATTTTTTTTTTTTGTAACCTAAATGTTTAGAAATAATAAAATACGATATAAAATAAATCATAATATCATCTTATTTGTCATATGAAATACTATACAATTGCCAACCGACCTTGAAGCTTCAATTCATGACCGGAGTTCGTTATCTAGTAATATATAGAAATCTGTGATTTTCGTATACATAATATCTCATATCTGTGTGGAAGACGGAAGTATCAGTAGTTGTGATAGTGATTGTCCCCTTGATGGAGTGTACCGGCTTCAGAATTCGAATGTTTTCTTCCCAAAACGTTGTAGATAGCGTATACAACATCGTTTTTGAGGTTATTGTTGTTCTATTCAGTATTCTGCTTGTCATTTTATCAAAAAGAGCTTGTAATAATTTTGTAATTTGTGTATTATGTCGTAGTGTACCTTAAAAAATTTAAAATATAAATTTGTTATAATTTTTAGAAAATAAATTCTGAATAAACGTATACATTGAATACTCTATAAGTAAGTTCAGTTTTAAACATTTCTATTCATCGTTATATTCACTAGGTTTTTGTTAATAAATGTTTTCTTATGTCTTAATGTGTTGATAAAAATAATTTAGTTCAGTCATTGTTCAGTACATTGTTTAATATTTATTGTTCTTTTCATTAATGTTTTTGATATATCGGTATTGTTATATCAAATAATATTAATAAAATAATAATATTTAATTTAAGAATCATTTTTTCTGTAGGTATTTATACTAATTTTCATTTTTTTTTTCCAGAACAATGTCGACAAATGAATCGCCAATATCCAAAGTGGTAGTTCACCCATTGGTATTGCTGAGTGTTGTGGATCACTTTACCCGGCTCGGAAAGATCGGCAATCAAAAGCGAGTAGTAGGTGTATTACTTGGTTCGTGGCAGCAAAACAAAGTGCTTGACATTTCTAATAGTTTTGCACTTCCGTTTGATGAAGATGATAAAGACAAGTCTGTTTGGTTCCTCGATCATGACTATCTTGAAAATATGTATGGTATGTTCAAGAAAGTAAATGCCCGTGAAAAAGTTGTTGGTTGGTATCATACTGGTCCTAAACTCCACCAAAATGACATTGCTGTGAATGAATTAGTACGCCAGTACTGTGTAAACAATACATCTGTCATGGTGATCGTTGATGTAAAACCCAAGGATGTTGGAATACCTACTGAAGCATACCGGGTTGTGGAGCAAATTCATGACGACGGATCACCACCATCAAAGACGTTGGAGCACATTGCTAGTGAAATTGGAGCGGAAGAAGCTGAAGAGGTTGGTGTTGAACATTTACTTAGAGATATTAAAGACTCGACTAGTGGTTCCTTAAGTCAACGTGTTGCCAACATAATATTTGGTGCTAGAGGTCTTTATAAACAAATGGTCGATATAAGAGATTATTTACAACAAGTTGTTGATGGAAAATTACCCGTTAATCACCAAATTATTTATCAACTGCAAGAAATATTTAATCTGTTGCCAGATGTAGAAAAGGATACTTTGGTTGCTGCAATGCACGTTAAAGTAAACGATCACATGCTTGCTGTATATTTAGCAACCACTATCAGGACCATTATCGCATTGCACAACTTAATCAACAATAAGATTGCTAACAGTGATGATGAAAAGAAACAATTAAGGGAACCAGAAGAGAAAAAAGAAGAAGTTGCAAAGAAGAAAGAAATCAAAGCAAAATAGATGGATAATATGATTCAATTATATAATATAATTGTAAATAAATAATCTTTTTAATATATATTTTTTTTTTGTTTCAAATATTGAAAACACATCGTATAACGCAGACATTTTTATATTATTATAATTATTTTGTTTTCGACAGTCTTTGCATATTGATATATTTTTCTTTACTAATTTAAATCTCCTTGTTTTATTTTTATTATTATTATTAAATATCTCACATTAACTAAACCTACTAAAATTACTTTATACCTACCCAAAAGATAAATAAATATATTTTCTTCAACTGAAATAAAATATGTTTATGATTTAAAAAAAAATTATATATGCTTAGATTGGAAATTTTCAAAATAAAATAGGATATAATATAATTAATAATGAATAGTTTTAGGAAATGTAACAAAATAAAACTTCAATTATATTTATTAGCATAATCATTAGACGACCAACAAATTTAAGTGAAATAAATAGTATTAACTCAATATATTAAATAGTTTTTTATAATTATATAGGTATTTCAATAAATGTAACAGTATAACAATTTAAAGTATTTCAAAAGTAGTTAAATAAATTAAGAAGACTAGGTTATTTCAAGTATTGTAAACTGATTATAAATTATCTTCAATTAATTTTATTTAAACTAATAGTTGTTTGAATTAAATTATTTTTTTTAATTGAAAATATAAAAATAATAGAAAGTGCCTTTTCAACAGTTTTTTCCTATCAAACTTTTTGTTCATTTATAACATATTATATTAATTGTATCATTTTGATGTATATGTATTCTTTAAAAATAAATAATTAAAAATATGAATATTATGAAAAATGCATTCAAATATCAAATAAAACTATGTTAATTGATGTATATAAACACAAACAATATAAATTATAATATAATAATTTGTATTCATACTTACTAGTAAGTATTAATATTTGTATTGATTGTTAAATGTAGCATAATATCAAATATCTTAACATATATTATATATAATACAATTGTTTATAAACACCTTAGTTTTTAAATAACGTTTGTAAATTCTTCCAAGTAAAACCATGATTTATAAAAATGATTTATTTAATATTAATGAGTAAAATGTTTAAATGCAACAAAATTAAAACTTAATGTTAAACCAATGTCTTATTTGAATAAAAAATTACCAAAAATAAAACAATGTTTTCATTGTTTAAAATATATTATCAACTAGTGTGCACAATTTAAGAAAGTTAAAGTAGTATTTACTATGCATTATTGAATAATGATATTTTCAAAATATAAAATAGAATAAGTTACTTACATAATAAAAAGTATAGCAATAAAGTATTGAAATAATACTGAAGTTTTGGTAAGATTAAAACATATTAAATTGCATTAATGTAAAATTACACTAATTCAATCAAATATACAAAAATACAATCAATTTATTTATTGCAGACAGGGTACGCCCCTGATTAACTCGTAAAAAAAACTTATATAGGTAGGTAAGTAATTCTAACACTAATTAAAAACATAAAAAATATCAATAAGTATACTATCTTTAAACACCCAAGTTAAATATCAACTGTGTAAGTATACCGGTGCCAATTAATATGTAAAATAGTTTTCATACAGTTATATCAGTTAGGTATATCATACATATAAACACCACATTTTTCTGAAGGGGGGGGGGGGGGGGGTTAACATCAACTGTGCATATTAATTATGATTTTTGTATTAACTATACGATTAGCACTAGACTACACAGTCGATCACAGTCAACTGAAATGAGTGCACACAGACACACAGTAACTGTCAACTGAACACTGAAGTGTACTAAAACTGAGATACACTCAAAGCAAGAATCAAGATACACCTATATAGCGTACACATTATCATTGATTATAAATATTAGTATTTATAATCAATGATAGTAATAATATAGACTATAGTATATACTATATAGGATTTGCTACAAAAAAAAAAACTAAACACGGTCGAAGCCGAGATAATATTCAGCTAATAATCCAACACGACGTGTAATAATGATGGTTAAACATTATTTTGTACTTACATTTGCTGTTATTCAAATATCTATCGTAAAAATGTGTATAGGTGCAATCATTGATTATAAATACTATTTATTAATTTAGTCAATGGTGCAATGTTCAAATAATATGTAATAATTTTTATTGTCCATTTGTACGTACATAATATTCTTAAATCAGTATTCACGTCTCGCGACGAAAATTAATCACGACTAATAATTTTACCGCGACTATGTTCATACGACAAATTGACGAAAACTCATAGAAAAGAAAATATGATTTATCCGTAGACGGTAGACCTGATTCACAGTAAAGTTATATTGTATTCAAAAGGTATATCGTCTATGAAATTATATTATCTATATGACTATATCTTGCATTCTCGAAGTCATATTCCATGGCAAACACCAATCGTCGCCACTCGCGGCCATTCGTCTGCGACGAATAACGATTCTACCAATTTCAATGAAAAAAAAGGCCATATTGACTGTCGTTATTAAAGTAACTGCTCGTTAAACAGTATTATTTTTTTTTTAAATATCTCAATACTTCGAAGAGCAATGAAGACGGATGAAGAGAGCTATTCCTTCGGCGTCAGTTCAATTACTGCACTCCAGAAATAGCTCGGCTATATTTAACCAGAAGAGTCGATGCATGCGTAAGTTTGTTTTTCATATTCTTTCAAATGTACTTATTAGACTTAGAAATTAGAATAAAATTAATTTATTGCCACGGACAGTCTGCTAACCGAGTGACGTAGACTTAAATTGCATTTCCGAGACCGAAATGCATAAAAAATACTTTGCAAATTATTTTTCATTTAATTGGCACTGCATGAACATTCATTATTTAATTATATAATTTTTACAAATGTATTCACCCTATTTAAATAAATTGTCAGGTGCAAAGAAAGGGCCTTGAAAGGACCATTCGATGTAGTGGCTGTACCCATTGTTTTTATTATTAGGTACCTACCTACCTACCTTATTAATATATTATGTAGTATTCGAGTTCCAGTATAGGTATAACTGACTTATGAAGAAATTTTACCATCTTTACTTGTAATTATTATCCACACATAAATAGTTTTTTATCGCTCTCATAAGTAAAAAAATAAAAATATTAGGTACATATTATAATGTATTATACATTATTATCGTTCTTTGACATTTTATGTGAGATTGCAGGATATCCATCGATTCCATAGTTTATTTTTTATAAATAATTGTACATAATACCCACCAATTTTGTACCAACTTATTCTATTCTATTATCTTATATTATATTATAATGTAAATTTATCTATTTTTAGAAATTAATTCATGATTAATATAAATTGAATAAGAGAAATACTTCCGACATTAATTTATCTAATTTAATAACAATTACATTTAAGAAGCAAATATTATAAATCATGAAAAACAAACCTTTTATTAAATAATTTTGATAATTTAAAATTAAATCATAATTAATACAGCATAATGCACAAGTAATAGTAGGTACCTATTAAACAGAAAACAACATTAATACGCCATAATAAGGTTTTATGTAAACAATAAAATAATATATTTATGATAAATGTTTATCATTTGGAGTAGGTATACTACAGTTTTATATAGCATAATTCTACAAATTATAGTTATAAAGAAAATTAACCTTTTCTTATAAGTTATATGATATCCTTAACAATGCGTACCTATACAATGAAATAAATAAATAATAAATTAATAGGTATATAATAGTACATTTTCAAGCATTTCACCCATCTAAAAAAATTGTATTGACATTTACAGAAAAAAAAACTAAAAAAAAATGGACAAATAGTTGTCGTTCTGCTGTACAGTAGGTTACAAGTAGGTCAATGTATTAGATGTTGTTAAATTTAAATTTAATGATATGTAATAATATCATTGTATACGAAAAACGATTCTGAGCAAAGACGGTCAGTCAGCCTATGATATATTACTAAATATATTTAATGATATTATTGTGAATAAAGTAATTTATTTACCTATTTACGTGGAACCTTGTTTTAAATGTTCAATGCTAAGCTATAAAAGTTGAACATTTTATCAATGTTTAACTATAAAATCATTTTATATTCTGATCGCAGCGATGAATGTATTTATTTTACAATGATGTGTGATTTTTAATTTTTTTTTATTTGTGTTTGAGTGCTGTCAACGCTTTTTAGGCCAGTAAAAATGCTTGGATTTTCTTCAATAGTATCTTTTCTGATAGGAAGTAAAATAAGTAAAAAATTCCTAATACTTTTTCTAGAAAAGTTTTATGAATTTCTTACACAAAATAATTTGAACATGTTCGTTTTTTTTACGTAGGTAGGTATTTCGTCGAAATTTGAACTTAAAATATAAAAGACATGATATATAAAAAAATATTTTCATTTATTAATATTAAATATAACCAAGGTTAAAAATAAATTTTATATTTGAAATTAATAACTGGATGTTTAATTTAAATAAGGTAAATTTGTTAATTGGTGTATTTCTCATCTGTTTTAATTCTATACGAATTAAAAAATAATAAGTATAATATCAATATAATTTAATTGCATACAAACTAACCTCCATTTGATCTTACAGATATTTTAGATTCTGTTCTTTCTTTCTCGTCTCTGGTTTCAGTGTCAAAATCCCTGTCATTTGCCTATTATATTGCGAAAAACGCTTAGTTTGTATTAGGTACAACATAATATGTAGGTATCATATTATATTATGGGCTACACTAAGTAGATAAAATATTACATTATAATAGAATCTCGTTTATCCCAACAACCAAGTTCTTTCGTAAAACCCACAGTGTGTGTGTGGCTACATGCAGTGTGGATACTCCTTGATTTGCCATTCCTATCCCAATCGCAACGGATAACACAAGAATTAAAGAATAGAGTTTTTATTGTTAGGTTTTTATAAAATTTAAAGTTTTTAATCATACAAATTTTGTTTATTCATAGTGAT